TTGACTTAGCTTCACAGAACATGAGCTTTCACCCCATCTGGTCAGTGTAAACCCTACAGTTTCACATCTTTCTGTTTCGTTGCAGGCTGGCCAGAGGACGTCATCTATGGTGAGGACTATGTAGGGGCTGGAAGCGTCTGCTCCCTGAATGTTTATGTGTGCACACGTGTGTGTGCAGTGTGCATGTATGTGTGTATGTGTGAGTGCTGTGTGTGCATGGTATACATTTATGTGTTCACCTGTGTGCCTGTGTGCCATACGCACATTTGTTAGTGTGTGCACATGCACATGTGTGGCGCTTTGTGCACATAAGTACACATGTGTTCTCGTGTGTGCAGTGAGTGCATGTGTATTTATGTGTGCATGTGTATGCACATGCACTTGTGTCTGTGCATATATGTGCATGTGTGTGCACGCACGTGTTTTTATGTGCACGTGCACTTGTGGACACGTATTGCACGCATGTGTGCACATGTACTTGTGTGTGCACGCATTGCACACATGTACTTGTGTGGGCACCCACGTGCACATGTGTATTTGTGTGTGCACATGTACTCATGTGTGTGTGTGTGTATGCATGTGCATGTATGCGTGTGTTCTCCTTTCTATTCCAGGGTGCAGAAATGCTGTGCTAAATGCTGGTTCTATGGCTGTAAACACCAAGTTTTGCTGCCCTGAGAGACCTTAGCTCCTGTTTACTGCCTGAGGGACAGACAGGCTGCAGAGCCCGGGCAGCGAGAGAACTAGCTCTTCCAAGGAACAGCCACTGTGGGGGACACTGTTAGCACAGAGTGCGGAGCCAGTGCCTTTCTGCCCCAGGGCACCATATAGGTGGGAAGCATGGGGGGAGAGTCTGGCTGTGGAGAGGGACCCCCAAGGACAGGAGGGGCAGTACTGCGAGCCACGAGCTGGGCAGATGAAAGCAGGAAGGGGATCTGGGAACACCTGTCCCACCACAGCCACATGGTGAGGGCCCAGGAAGAGACAGAGAGAAGCCAGTCTCCATTCATTCATTCAGTTACAACCATGATCAGATATCTTCTGTGCAAGCAACTGGCCTCCATTAATGAATGTACAGCTTCCTCCTGTCCTCATGGAGCATAGAGTCTATGTGGGGATGTGAGCCACAAGTCAGCGTTTGTTTTTTTAATTATTAAATCTGGAATAACTGTGATAGGAAAGAGCCAGAATACTAGGAGGATGGCCAGGAGCATGTTCAAGTGGGATGTCCAGACCCCTGGGAATGGTGGGGTGCCAACATCTAAATGAAGGAGTGGGTAATGGCAAGACCACAGCTATACGAGGAGGGGTGAACTCGCCCCTGTGGCAGGGAGAGTGGGGTCTGTGGTGTGTGACAGCTGGGCATGTGGAAGAGGTACCAACAGGGCAGGAAGGCTTGTGTGTGCCCCTGCAGAGCCTGGGAGGCTGAGGTAGAGGCCTGGACTTTACAGGAAGCACCGTGCAATATGAGTGAGAACCTGTAAGCAGGGGAGCAGCACTGATGGAAGAGAGGATACAGCCCCGAGATGGGTCCTGGGGCCACAAGTAGCACAGTCCAGAAGGGGCAAGGCAGAGGGAGCAGCCCAAGGTGACCCCCAGCTGCATAAGTCTCTGGCCCTTCTGGCTCCATCTAACAGAAGGTTTGGAGCAGATTTGGGCCAAATAAGTGAAAATCACCATGGACCTCCTAAGACTGAGCTGTTCTCAGACATCCTGCTAAGGACGTCAGATGAATCATTGGATATGCGAGTCTGGAACTCTCAGGAGAAATCGGGACTGGAGACAGGAATTGGGGTCCATGGCAAATATCTGGTATAACTGAACGTGTGAGTGCTACATTTTTTGCTACACCTAAAATTATTCTTTAAAAATTTCTCTTTGGAAAAGAATTAAGATTTTTTAAAAAGGGAAGATACAGGGAAACAAGAAAGATCCAAGATCTAGCGTTGGAGAACCCTGGTATTTGAAGGTTAGAGCAGTGGTTGTGGGAGGGCCAAGGGAGACTTCACCGTGGAAATGTGCAGGTGCAGTGTGTTGAAGGAGCATCAACTTTCGTGCACCTGAGAAGTAGAGTCAGGTCAACCCGGGAAAATGGCCCAGAAAAACTGGCAAGCATGGTACAAAGAGAGGCGTCTCCTGTGGAGAGAACTGGGAGGGAGGTCTCAAATTTATTGCCTGTGTAGTTGAGCTAAGACTTGGTGAGTGGGGAATGGGAAGGTTCTGTTTGTGTTTGCTGTGGTTTTACTTTGAGGTCCGTGGCAGGAGAGCATGCCTGTTGCCTAAAAGGAACCATGTGGCGTGAAGATGCCTGAAGCCTGAAGGGAGGAAGAAAACCAGTAAGAGAATGACGATGCAGAGAAGATAGTCAGCAGCTGTGGATGGGATGGAGCACAGGTCTACACTGTGGCCAGGTGGGGGGTGGTGTGCAAGGGTCCAGCGCATATGTGATGGACAGCACAGGAGAAGATTCACAGCCAGGTGTGGGTGGTGTGCAAGAGGAATCAGTGTACACAGGACACAGACTGAGATCCAGGGACAGGTGTGGGTGGTGTTCAAGGGAAGCCAGTGCACCAGGACACAGGATGAGCTCCAGGGATAGGTGTCAGTGTGTGCAAGAGGAGTCAGTGCACAAGGACACAGGATGAGCCCCAGGGACAGGTGTGGGCGGTGTGCAAGAGAAGTCAGCGCAGAAGGACACAGGATGAGCCCCAGATACAGGTATGGGTGGTGTGCAAGAGGAATCAGTGGACAAGGACACAGGATGAGCTCTAGGGACAGGTATGGGTGTGTACAAGAGGAGTTAGCACACAAGGACACAGGCAGTGCTCCAGGGACAGGTGTGGGTGGTGTACAAGAGGAATCAGTGGACAAGGACACAGGGTGAGCTCCAGGGACAGGTGTGAGTGTGTACAAGAGGAGTTAACACACAAGGACACAGGCAGTGCTCCAGGGACAGGTGTGGGTGGTGTGCAAGAGGAGTCAGCACACAGAACACAGGATGAGTTCCAGGGGCAGGTGTGGGTGGTGTGCCAAAGGAATCAGTTCAGAAGGACACAGGATGAGCCCCAGGGACAGGTATGGGTGGTGTACAAGAAGAGTCAGCACACAAGGACACAGGATGAGCTCCAGGGACAGGTGTGGGTGGTGTGCAAGAGGAGTCAGCACACAAGGACACAGGATGAGCTCCAGTGACAGGTGTGGGTGACAGGTGTGCAAGAGGAATCAGTGCACAAGGGCACAGGTGGTTCTCCACAGTCAGGTGTGCTGTGGTGTGCAAGAAGTCACTATAGAATATTTGTGTATCAATGTCAATTGTATGGTTCTGATCCTATTACTGTGGGTTATATGAGATGTTATCATGGGCATATTGTGTGTGGTATTTTGCAACCTCTTTGTAAGTCTCAAACTGTTTTTTGACATGAATATTTTTTAATGATGAGGGAATTTGGAATAGAAGGAGCCGGGCCCATTGTTCAGCTAGTGAGTCCATGTTTGGCCATCATAGATATGAACATGGGTGGGCTCAATCTGCATGGCCCGGACTCTACAGGGAAAGGGTTTGTATGGAGCAGAGGGTGAAGACTTCAGGAAGCAGCAATGAGAAATCGGGGAGAACATTTAGTCTTTGCTGGAAAGCGAAAGGGAGCAGGGTTCCTTCCAGAAGGAAGTAGAGACCGGGGAGAAAGTTGTGGTTCTGTTAGAAGGAGAGCGTGTGTGCTGTCCAGCTGACAGGGATGGATGGTCAGGAAACATGAGTGTCTGGGGCATCGTATGCAGACCCCAGCAACCAGCAGCATGCCTACTGAATGGGCAAGGGTGGACACCAGCCATGAGATTTCTGTTGTCGTGAAGGTGCCTGCACAGGCAGCTGGGGCTCCCAGCTGATCCCCACCCTCCCTGCCTCTCAGGTGTAGACAGACCCTCCCCCAGGTGACATGATGAGGGCCTGAGGGGTCTGAGAAGGATGGTGGGACAGGAGAGAAGGGATCTGTTTTGGAAGGTGTTCATCTCAGTTTGTGAGGCTGCTAAGGTGTCTCTCAGGGTTTTCCAGATGGGATCTCCCCTTCAGTGGTTGACCCCAGAGCTGTCCAATGGCATCAATGCACCTGTGACCTCATCTCATGTCACCCTGTCTCTTCACGTGTCCTCCTATGTCTTTCTCTCTATCTCTGTCTCCCTGTGTCTTTCTCTGTGTCTCTCTTCCTCTGTCTCTGTCTGTGTCCATACCTTTCTCAGTCTCCCTCTATCTCTCTTCCTGTGTCTCCCTATGTGTATCTCTCATTGTTCTCCTTGTCTCTGTCTCTGTCTCTCTCTTTCCTTGCCTCTCTCTGTCTCTGTCTCTCTATCTCTGTCTACCTGTGTCTGTCTGTCCCTGTCTCTGTCTCTCACGTGCACGCCCACATAGCCCCCCCACACACAAGTGCATATGCACACACACATGCACATCCACATCCATCCTGACACACGGGGCCCTGGGAGCAATGCCTATCTCACAGTGTGCCCCCCTGTCCCCTCATAGGAATCCCCCTTGGCTCTCCCTGGCTCCCCCTGGAGCCGCCTCTGCTGCCCTGGGATGGCCTGTTTGCACAGGATCCTGGACAGAGAAAGGGACTCACAGGGAGCCGCCTCCGCTGCTCTGGGATGGCCTGTGTGCACAGGGTCCTGGACAGAGAACGGTGACGCACAGGGATTCCCAGGGAGGCATGGTTCCACCTCCATGCAGGAGCACAGGTTGGGGACCCCAACCCCTAAACCTGATCCTCTCCTCTTCCCGCAGTGAGCCCATCCCTGGACCCTGACACTGCAAGCCCCAAGCTCGCTCTCTCTGAGGACAGGAAGACTGTGAGGCGGCTGTTCTTTGAACAAGAGCTGCCCAACGCCCCCAGCAGATTCGACCGGGACCCCTGTGTGCTGGGCCTGGAGCAGTTCTCAGCTGGGAGGTATTACTGGGAGGTCCAGGTGGGGCACAGGAAGGCCTGGAACCTGGGCGTGTGCCTGGAGAGCTTGGATCGGAAGGGAAGGATCCCCAAGTCCCCTCAGCACGGACTCTGGGCCCTGGAGCTGTACAAGAAGGGGTTCTGGGCACTTGCCTTCCCAAGAGTTCGCCTGCACCCTTCGGAGCCCCTGCATCGTGTGGGCGTTTTCCTGGACTGTGATGCAGGCAGAATCTCCTTCTACAGCGTGAGCAATGGATCCCTCATCTACGCGTTCTCTGGACTGTCCTTCTCGGCACCCCTGAGGCCATTCTTCTGCCTCTGGACACATGACCCCAGCCCCCTGACCATCTGCTCAGAACGGCAGCCCCCAGAGGCCTTGGGGCCTCCTCAGGGTGAAGGACAGGACAGGTGGGAACCCTCCTCCAGCAAGACCCATGATCTCTCTGCTCCAGCCTGTCACCAATTTGGGGGAGATGTATCCATTCTAAGTCCCAGCTAGATCACATACAAGGGTGCACCTTTCTGGATGATCCTGTGTTATCTCCACTTTCCTTCCCTGTAAAATACTGACAAAATATTATGGGCTGAATCATGTCCCCTCCAGTTCACATGTTGAAGCTCCAACCCCCAGGGCCTCAGAATGGGGCTATATTTGGAGATGGGGTCTTTACAGAGGTGGTTCAGGTAAAAGGAAGTCACTAGCGTAGGCCCTGATCCCATCTGATCCCATGTGACTGGGGTCCTTAATAGAAGAGGGGATCAGGGCATAGACACACATAGGGGACAACTGTGTAAGGACACGGGGAAGAGATGGTGTGTGGATGCCAGGGAGAGAGGCCTCAGGAGGAACCAGCCCTGCCACACCTGGATGTCATGCTTCCAGTTCCCAGGACTGGGAAAAAATAAATGTTGTTTAAACCTCCCAGTCTGTGGTATTTGTTACAGAGACCAAGCTGACTGTTACACCATATCATTACATGCTGTGGGGTGATTTTCTGAAATGAATTTAGGGCATATGTTTAATGTTGAGCCTAGTGCCAGACATGAAGTAGTTGCTCCGTAAATGCTAGCCTTGCTCATTCCCTCCTCTCCCACCTTCTTCCTGTTCACACCCCTCTCCTACCTACCCACTTCCCCTTCTCCTCCACTCTCTGACACTCACAAAGTCCTAGTCATCTGGTCTACCTTGGATCCCACCTCACCATGGCAGGTCGGTGCAGACAGAGCTACGTTGAGGCCAAGCCAAAGATTCCAGGGCTCCCTGAGGTTGGTCAGGGTTGAATCAGGGCATGTGGGCAGAGAGAGTAGCCTAGACACAAGTGTGGATGTGGAATCAAACAAGGCATGAGCATGGAGGGAAGGTGAGACTCAAACCACTGCCAGAAGCTGCTTCCACCCTACTTACGGGTATGATGATGGAAGGAAGCTGGAAGGAGCCTGGGAGCTCCTGGGGAGAACGCTCAGGGCTCCCCAGTGAGGCTGGTCCCCTGAGTGCTAGGAGAGGCCAATGGGGGCATGAGCAGGATTGGGATGGTCCATCATGTGCCTCCCCTGGCTGCAGCTGCCAGATCTGATGTAGAGTGAAGGCTTGCCCCCCAGACATGGAAGGGGTCTTTCTCCCAAGGAGGGTCCCTGGGCTGTGACCCCATGTGACCTTGAGGGTAACTCAACACTCACTCTGTGCACATTCTGTTGGTTAGTGTGTGTGCTCACACCCAGACATGAAAGAGAGATTCTACCTTAAGCAAGTTGTGTGCATTTGCACATAACATGGGAATGTCTCATTTCATCCCAATGCCCCCCAACCCAGAGGGCTGTGTTGCTGCTCCCTAGAGATGGGGACCCAGGATGTGCACAGTAAGGGCCCCATGGTGGCCATGATGCACCTGCATCCACTGCTGGACTGGAAATGCCCTCCGATTTCTCCCAAGCCTACCCGTGGTCCCAGGATGCCCTTCTGCCATGGGGCACAGGCCTCCCAGTGCCCACCTGCAGGGCTCATGGGGGCAGAAAGGTGCCCTACAGAGGGGTCACAAAGTGGAGAGGCAGCTGTGGGGGTCCACGTGGGCCTCCAGCTCTTCCTGGGTTCAAAGGGCATCAGGCAGTCACAGGTCAACATCATAATGTAGGGACAACATGGGTCATGATGAAGGATGCACTTGTGTTGGAAAAGAAGAAGGAAGGAAGAAAACTTGGGGAAACTTGGAGCAGATGTCTGCAGAGCAGATGTCCAGGCAAACACTTGCAGCTCCTGAGAAACTGCAGTGAGTTCAGTTGTAGCCCCCAGAGGATTTGCCCACCCAGGACCTCAGAATGTGGCCTCATGTGAAAATGGGGTCTTTGCAAAGGTGATAAGGTCGGGGGTGGATCTTGAGGTGACAGCATCCTGGATCAGGGAGGATCTTTATGAGACAAGGGAGGGGGTTTGAGACAGCCATGTGGTGATGGAGGCCACAAACCCACAAAGCCTGGGAGTTCGGCAGCTGGGAGAGGCAGAAGGGACCCTCCTGAGCCTTCAGAGGGAGCACAGCCCTGTGACATCTTGATTTCAGACTCCTGGCTTCCACAGCCCTGAGAAAACGCATCTCTGTCATTGTACACCACTGGTTTAAGGTAGTCTCAGGGCAGCCAGAGAGGCTAATACTTATATTGTTGAGCCCAAATTATGCAGGAGGAATGGGACCTGTCCACAGCAGGGACTGTCCTTTGACCACAGGACACACAGAGTGGAACCCAGGTTCCTGCTAGCCTGAGAAGGTTTTTTGAAGCTGCTCCCTTTCCAAATAAAGTCATTGTGGTGGTTTCTCCTATGTCCACTAGATGGGGCCCTGGAGTGAGCATGATTCTGGGTGTGTCCATGAGGTGGTTCTGCCTGACATTCACAGCAAATCTGCAGACTGAGGGAAGAAGATGGCACTCCCTAATGTGGGTGGGCCTGATCCAATCAGGCTGACCACCCAAAGAGGGCGTTCTGAAGAGGACATCAGCTTCCTTACTCCCCTTGGATATGAACAGACACACGACAGATCCACTCTTCTGGGTCTCCAGCCAGCAGACACCCTGTAAACCTTGGGATTTTCCAGCTTCCATAATCATGTGCACCATTCTTTAAAAATGTATAAGGAATTTTGGGAGCGCCTGGGTGGCTCAGTCTGTTAGCATCCAACTTTTGATCTCAGGGATGTGAGTTAGAGCTTTGTGTTGGGCTCTCCACGGGGAATGGAGCCTGCTTTTAAAAAACCAAAATGCTTAAGGAATTTTTATAAATATTTATAAATGTTTTATCTATCTAAATAAGAAGTGCTATAAAATGTGTATATTTCTACACATATATAAATATAAATATTTATGTTAAAATTTATTAAAATGTTTAGATTTATAAATATAAATATGGAATATTCATGAAGTATTTTAAAATATTTTGTATCTATATAAATAGATATGTTATACAATGTGTATATTTCTATACATATATAAATATAAATAAATATTTACATTATTTATTAAATGTTAATTTTATAAATATAAATATGGAATATATATACAGTATTTATAAAAGTTTTATATCTATGTAAGTATAATAAGAAATGCTACAAGATATGCATACTTCTGTAAATATATAAATGCAAAACAATTACTGAAATGCTTATATTTATATATATGAATAAAATGGACTATTTATAAATATTTTGTAGCTATATAAATATAAGTAAATAAGAAATGGTATAAAATGTGTATATTTCTATAAACATATAAATACAAATAATAATAAATAATAAATAAAAAGTCGAGGCCAAGTCGAGAAGGGGGTTCAGAGAAGCCTGACCAGAGTCTGGTCCAGGAGAGAGCATTTGTCAGAGGGAGGAAGGCCCAGTGCTCCATGCAGCCAGCCCCTGCCCAGCCCAGTGGGCTCCTCGTGGAAGGTCATGTCCACTTCCATAACCCAGTGGGCTCCTCCTAGAAGTTCGTGTCCACTTCCCGACCCAGTGGGCTCCTCCTGGAAGATCGTGTCCACCTCTCCAACCCAGTGGGCTCCTCCTGGAAGGTAGTGTCCATTCTCCAACCCAGTGGGCTCCTCCTGGAAGGTCGGGTCCACCTCCATGTGGGATAGAGGAGGCCCTGCATGTGGAAGGGTTGGGTGTGAGCTCTGCATACACATGCAGTTAGAGCCAAGATGTGTACCCTGCCTCCTTGTCCCACACTGCTTCCCGGGAAGACACACCTTCCCATGCCACATGTTACCTGTCAACAGTAAGCAAGGAAGGGCAGTCAGTTCCTTGGGCCACGTTTATTCTCCTACTTATGGAAAGAGTGTTTTTTAGGCTTGACACAGATTTGCATCATAAGGTCAAAGCCAGGTCAGAGCCTGGAAAAGTTTGTTTCAAGGATGACCCCAGAAATGCAGCAAGGAAGGTAACACTGGGAGAGGAGGAAGACTGTTTTCCCTGTAAATTTGACTAACCAGAGACACAACAGGAGAAAAACAAACAAACTGATTAGCATCTGCATGATGCATACGCGTGGGGGACTTGCAGGACTGCTTGGAACTTGGGTCTAAAAACTCACTTAAGACAAGAAAGTGGGAGTAGGTAGGGAGCTTATGGAAAAGCAAATGTCTTTTTGGAAAGATGAATGAGCCCTCAGGAAATAGACCAGAGATGTGCCCGTTTGGAACCAAGTTCATCTGGGATTGAGGCTGGCTTCCCTCCTCCAAGAAGAGATTAGGATTGTTCTTGGGGAATATTTAGGACCTCTGAAGTTTCCTTTTTTCAGGCGGCCCTGCCTTAGGCTGATGTAGGATTTCAGGATCTCAAAGGCCTTAAACTGAAAATAATTATGCCGCAGTCCCATATTTTAGGGTGGCATGCCCCATCTCATCTCCAAGAAGCATACAAGTCTTATTCCAGCTGTGATGTGACTCAAAACCACACCTCCAGTAATAGAGAAAATTAGCAATTTTGTCCTGAAAGAGTGAATGTAACAGTGTCTATAAGATATACAGAGGCTTTTACTAACTGAAAGAAATCTGAAGAGGACTTTTGCTTTTACTAAAAAGGTGAAAAGCAAAGATAGGATTCAGCATTTGATTGCAGCAATCTGTCCAGAGGCAGCACACAGCAGACCAGTGAGAGTGGCGCCACCCAGCTCCTTCCCCGGGAACCACACTTAGCATCTCAGCATCCAGTCGCCAGAAATTTGAACTATCTATGAGCATCTGTGCTTTATCTTGATTTATATTGTGCATCTGTTAGCAAGGGGTCAACATGGTGGAGAAGTAGGGGGATCCATACTTCCCACATCTGTCAAACAAAGAAGTTCAGAAGCCAAAGGACTTTGAAAACCAGAGCCTGGGAGGAAAAAAGACAGAATCTACTAGGAAGAAAATGGGAAAGCTGGAAAAAAGATATGACTACTCCAAGGAACAAATCAAAGCACACCTGGTGGAGGGTCCAAAATATCACTATGAGTAGGGTAATAAAATAATCAAAGTCACAACAATAGACAGCATGTAACAATCTCCAAAAAAACACCTCCTGAAGGGCCAGGACCTGGACAGTGTATGACCCTCCTTTAATATAGAAGTGCTTGCAGGTGCAGAGCAGACAAAAAGCTTTTAAAATGTATAAGGGACAGAAAACGAGACAAAATGATGAAATGGAAGAATGTTCCTCAAAAGAAATTCCAGGAAGTGGTGACAGCTAATATATTGATCAAAACCTTTTAAGCAATATAACCGAACAAGAATTCAGAGTAATAGTCATAAAATTAATTGCTTGGCTTGAAAAAAAAGCATAGAGGACAGCAGAGAAT